GCTTGTTTCCCTCACTAAAAGGAGAGTTCTCAAATATCTTTTTTTTTTTGGTCATAAACATTATGACTCAAAAGAATTTTTAAAGATACTAGAGCACGCCTGTGAACCACTACGTGGCATAAGAGCAGGTTATAGGTAGTCGAGGTGAGGAACACGGAGATGCTTCAGGAACCCCAAAGACCTCAAGACGGAGCCGACCTGGAACCGCGTGTGGAGGCTGAGGCGCTCCAGGGGCCTTCCCAGCCCCGCAGGCCAGCGGCCGTGTGTCCACAGCCCCATCAGCCATCATGGAGGGGACAGGTGCAGCCTCCAGGGCACAGATGGACCCCCCCCCCCACGGCCTCTCAACAGATCTTCCCGTTGTTTCTAAAGAGAAGCCAGACATCCAGAACGTCGTGTAAAATGTCCTAGTGTTAAAATACTGGTAAGTGACTTCATGATCTTTAAAATACTGAGTCGGCCAAACGACACGACCTGGGCCCACGTCTGCCCACGGGCGGCCAGCTGGGGAGACCTCAGCAGCGGGGACAGAGCCGGAGGGTATCCCGCCCCCAAGGGCTCCAGACCCGGGTGCAGGCAGGACGAGGGCCCGGAAAGGCCCTTCCCCTCAACTGGGAAAGACGGGGAACCCAGGCAGGGCCGCGGCTCCAGGCCGAGAGGGCCCGGCCCGGAGAAGGTCCGCAGGCCCAAAGGCAGGGAACGACACGGGGCTGGGGGGAATCTCCCGGAAAGTGAAGCCGCCGAAGCGACTTCCCGGGCGCGAAGGGCGGGAGGCCAGAGGCCCAGGTGCTCCCGCGGGCAGCAGGATGGGAAGACCTGTGGGCCCCCAGAGGCGCCTGCGTCCCCGCAGCCCGACCCCGGCCGCAGCCCCGCTCACCGGTGGAAGCTGTCCACCATCTTCAGGTGGACCCGCAGGTCCTTCTTGGTGAGGTGGTCCAGCATGCGGGCATCCACCAGGCACTCCATGAAGTAGCTGCGGTACTGGGGGAGCCCCAGGCTGGGGAGCCACTCGTTCCCAATCCACTCGTGGTTCATGTCCCCATAGGCCAGGGTCTGCAGGGACAGGGACGGCGGGATGGGAGAGGCAGCCGGCGCCTGAGCGGGGACAGACCCCACTCCGTCCTCCGTGGCGGCCTACTTCCCACTAAGAAGCTGGGAGTGGTGGCAGATGCGGGTGCCAAGCGGGACTTTCTAAGGTCTCAGAATGATACGGGTCCACCCACGGGTCACTTGTCTGCACTAATGAGCAGAAGCAAGATCCCCTGAAGCCCTTCCTGGCGACTCGGGGCCGCACCTGCGGTGTGGGTGGCACACTGACTCGTCGGCCCCAAGCCCCGGACCCTGGGTGCAGGCCGCGTCCACGGGACCGGCCCCCCGCAGCCCCAGCGGGACGTGCTGACTCGAGAGCCACGGTGACGCCCGGCGCCCAGACTCTAGGGCCGCCGTCCATCTGGGGCGCCCTGGGTCCCCTGCACGCACCCCATGGCCCCGCCTCCCACTGCCGGCAGCGGGGGCTTCTCTGGCCGCCCGGCCCCGGGAAGGCGGGAGGAGCCCCCCCCATCACTGCCTCCTCACCCTTCCTCATTTTGCTTTAGATTGGAAAACCTCTTTTTACTTTTTTGGAATGAAACCATCATACAAATAAAAAGGAGCGTAGCCCGTGCTCACTATCCAGCACAAAAGTGACGTTACCGCCGACGGACAGCGACCACGCCGGGCGTCCCACGGCTGCGCCCACCCGCTGCCCCTCTGGAGGAAACCGCTAGGCTCACTTTGCTATCACGTCCTTGCTGGAGAAAAATGTTCTTACGGTTTCTGTGGTCACTGATGTATGTTCCTCTACAAACAGGTATTAAGGTTCTTGTGTTTGAGCTTTGCTATAAAATCCTACGAATCTTTTGGGCTTGGGTTCTGCACTTGACGTGACGTGTCCTGTGCTGCAGGCTCCATGGGGTGAGGACACGGACCCTCGTGCCCAGGGCCCGGCCGGGTCGCCCTGTGAGGACTCCTAGGGCCACGTGTGTGCTCGCGTCTAGTGCTCGCCTCTGCCGGACCCAAGGGAGGGCCACGGTTTGTCGCTTCTGCGCCCGGAGACCCAGAGAGCCCGGTCCCCGGAGGCGGGTCAGCAGGCGTCTGCCCGTGAGCAAAGGGGCCCCAGCAGGCTCGGCTGGGGAAGGGGGGTCGGCACCCCCAGGAATGGGGGGAGGCCGGTGCCCGGGCACGGCCCTCCAGGGACGTAAAGAGACGGGGACACCAGCAGGCCCACGGGGCAGAGAGCCGGGCACGCGGGGTCTTACCTGAGCCCAGCTGCCTTCCTCACTGTCCTGCAGGGATGAGCGCAGCGTGTCGGGGAAACAGGCAAAGTCAAGACCCCTGGGAGCGTCCACCCCGGGCCCAACCCGAGGAGGGAGCAGACACCCCGGGGCCGGGAGGGTGGCACGGGGCAGCTTGTTGAGACACAAGGGAGCAACTGCGCGGGCGCCAGACACACGCTCCCACGCGCCCCGCAGGCTCTCCCGCTCCCCGGCCCCGGGGTCAAGCCCAAGGCAGAGACCCTGCGGCTTCTGGCCGCGACGCCCGCCCCCCGCAGCGCATCAGGGACCGGTCCCCTGCACACTCTCCCATCCACCTCTTTCCCAGCTCCCAGCACCTGACGACAGGACCCGACACGCACGGGGCACCGACCTCACGCTAGGCCATCTGTGCCCCCCACTGCCACAACTGTCCCCTCCTCCTCGTGGCCATCGTCAGCCCCAAGCCCAGGCCCAAGGCCCAGGGCCAGACTCACTGTCTTGGTGGGTGTCGCCAGAGTCTCCATCTCTTCGTGGGTGACCCAGACATTCCCGGAAGACTGCAGGCAGAGAGGAAGCCTAGCTGGGCCTGCGTGCGGGTCCCCGGATGCCCTTGGGGCCAGGAAGCCCGAGCACGAGGACAAACGTCCCCCTCGGGCATCCCCCAGGCCCGGCCCTGAGCCCGCACTGTCGGCCTGAGCAGCTCCCGGGATCACCGGGAGATGCTCAGCAAATGTTTCCTGGACGAACATGAACGGAGGGTGCGGGTCTGGAACACGGGCTGGTCCCGGTCACAGAGACGGGTGGCACTGCGAGCTGCCACCCCGAGGGTCCGCACCCTGTGGACGGCCTGCACGGCCAGGAGCGAGGTCACAAACGCCCCTGCCTGCCTGCCTCCGATCGATGCAGAGCCCCCGGAGCCCTCCCGCCCAGAGCTCTGCAGGCAGCTGGGCCCACGGGCGGTACATGGAGGAACTAGGCCTCCAGGGGGTCCTCCGAGGGGCGGGAAGGGCAGGAATCAAGCCTGCCATCGTCCCATCACTGGACGGTCTCCCCGGCGCCCGGGCGTCCTGGGTGGGGGGCCACTCACGGTCCGGGAGGTGGGCGGGGCGGACGGGCTGGTCAGCGACACCATCTCCTGGATGGCCAGCCGGAGCTTGAGGCGGTGCAGGGCGTTGCTGATGCCGATCTCACGCTGGATCTCCGTGTCCGACAGGGCCGACATGATGGCGCCACTCTTGACGTTGGCCCGGCAGGCGGCCACGTACCAGGCGGGCATCCCCACCCAGAGCTGCAGGCACAGGCACGGAGCAGGTCCAGCCCCTTCCCCCGACCTGGGCCCCGCCGCCAGGAGCCTGGCGCATCCGTGGCCTCGCGAGCAAGCAGAGCAGAAGAATCACACATGGGGTGACCGTCACCAGATGCGTCTCTTTCCCGTTTTACGGATGGAAAATCTGAGGCCCGAGAACGTGCAGGGATCCCAGACCACGCGGTGCCTCACTCCCGGGGCCGCCTGAGGGTCAGGATGCTGCGTCCCTGACCCACGCCAAGCTCCCGGGGGCATTGGCTCCACCCCCCAAGTGCCCCGTCCCTGCCCCTGCGGAGGAAGGGCGCCCGGCCCCGGAGACACGGGCTGAGAGTGCCCGCCCCCCCACGGGCCCAGGGGACCCCCCAGGCCTACCTCCAGCCAGGAGACCACAGTGGGGCCGTCCCACTGGGCGAAGGGCATTCCCTTCCTGCGGGCATCCTCAAGCAGCTGGTGTCTGGTGGGGAGAGGAACAGACTCACTGCTGTCCCCCTGGCCCAGCCCCGCTGACACCCCCCCCCCCAGCCCCGTGCCACCCCTGCTGCTCGCCTGGAGCACTAGGGTGCCCGTCCTGCCCCCAGCCTCCCCCCGGCTCATCCTGACAACCACCTCGCCGTCCCCGCCGGTCCCGTGTGGCCAGCAACCCTCTTCAGAAGGGCCTGGGCCTGGCTCCGGCTGCCGAGCTCGGGCCCAGCACTGAGGAACGGGCCGCGGGCCCCAGCTGCCCCCAGCCCCGGCTGCCCCCCCGGCTGCCCCCCAGCCCCGGCTGCCCCGGTGGCCCCGGCCACCCCAGCTCTTACTTCTTCTTCAGCCGCCGGTCCTTCTCTGCCTGGGTCCCCAGCTTGGCAGGCACCATGGGCTCCTGCAGACCAAGCTCGGAGTCTGTCAGCATGACTGGAAGGGGACAGACGGCGTGTGAGCTCGGACCCCCACCCCCTTGGCCCAGGCCTGAGCCGGGCAGCGGAGGCTCCTCGGTGCTCGAGAGCCCGGGAGGCCCAACGGGACCACCTGCTGCCCCGGGGCCTGCACTCTGTCCCTACACCCAGCAGCCCCACTGCGGCCTCCAAAGGTCCCCGTCCAGCCCCCCCCCCCCCGCCGGGTCCTCCTCCTCCTCAGCCTCCTCGGCCCAGAGAGCCTCCCCGGAGCCTCAGCCCTGCAGGTGTGCCCCAGCCAGATGGACCGAGGCGGTGCCCCCACAGCAGCAGGAGCCCAATCAGGACATGGCCCTGCTCCAAAGCGAGTCCAAGGGAACCCAGAGAGCCCGGTGTGAACGGGCCCCGCGCCGCAGAGGATGACCCGACCTGACCAGGGGGAGAAACACGGGCACCCGAGACCCCTGCCCCTCGGCCTTCCTCACTTGCAGGCCCGCAAGGGGCGACCCTCCAGGCTCTGTCTCCTCCTATCAAGGGTCGCTGAGCAGATGCCAACCCCACAGGGTCCGCGCAAGGGTCACGGGGGAGAACGCACCAGGTTTCGGTCGCTCCGCACAGCGCACACGGCAGTGGGTGTGGGCGACCCAGACACCACGTGAGATGCCGTCTAAGGGTTGGTGCTGGGAGCAGAGGCCCTCCCACGGCTCGGCTGCCCACAGGCCACCCTCCTGGCTCCCTCCCCACCCCTTCCCGCTCCACCACCCCCTGCACCCCTGCGGGCTGGGGCAGGATGCCCTACCTCCTTCCTAGCAGAGGACAGGTGCCTAACCCCCTCCTCCTCTCCTCCTCCCCTCGCCCTCCTCCTCCAGGAGCGGCAGGAAGGTCTGATTACACCTTTGGGTTCAAAGGTTCCTCCCTGTAGCGGATTAGCCCCCCACCCCACAGGCACTTGCCCTGCTCCAGCTGCCTTGGGGGACGCGTTGTGGCCCCTCAGAGCTGCCCCAGCCTGGGGTCTGCAGCCACCTCTGCCCCCCCCAGCCCCCCCTCTCCGTACGAAGCCCCCGCACCCAGCACCTGCCTCCCCGGGGCCCGCGGTCCCTACGCCCGTCCCTACGAGGCGGCCTCCTACATCGCCCTCCAGCAGCAGCCCAGCTGCAGCCGAGCAGAGGAAGCCGAGCTCTAGCCAGACGCCCCCCAGCACCCAGCTCCCAGCACAGGGTTTTGGGGCCGTCACTTTGCTTGCTGCGAGGCACCGCGCTCCCCGAAGGAAGGCCCCGCTCTGACCCCAGTGTGTACGGCAGCTGCTCACTATGGGTCTGACTGGATGGAGGGGGGAAAGGGGGATGGAGAGGAGCGTGGGCCTGGGGAAGGCGGGGCAGAGGCCGGTACCTACTGCGCGCCGACCCGCGCCAAGTGCACAGAACTTTCTATCCGCACAGGAGCTAGTGCCAGGCCTGCCCGGGCGCTTATGCTGCCCACAGGACGTCTATGGAGCCGCGGGCCCAGGACACGTTGCGTCCTGGAGGCCAGTCCTAGTCGGGAGCGGACTGTCCTCGAGGAAGAACCGGGAAGGTCCTCCCCAAGGTCCCGAGCACAGAAAACCTGCACACGGCCTGGAAGCTCCAAGGCCCCCGCCTGTGGCCCGCTGCCTCCGGGGAGCCCCCCCGAGCTGAATCTGCCCGACGGCCGCTGCCACCCGCAGGCCCACGAGCCAGGGTCCCAGGACGCCCTCCCGCCCCGGCCCGCTGCGGGCGCCCGCTGGCTGGGGGAGGACAGACACCGTGGCCCGTGGCTCCGTCCCGGCTCAGCTGGATGAGCCGGCCCTTCTCTTTCTTCCCGAACAGGCGGCCGATGGACGACTTGATGCCCTTGCGCTTGGCGCCCTTGTGCAAGGAGTCCTGGCTGCTGTTGCTGCTGCTCGGGTTGCTGCCCTGATCCTCCAAAGCACTGAGGACGACAGCCACGGGGAGAAACACACTTTCACCATCACGGGCTGGGGGCCAGGCCTCAGGGAGCCCTCACAGTAAGTGGGGGCGGGGGTGGGCGCGAGCAGGGGAGCTGGGACACAGGGCGCGTCCTTCAAACAGAGGCGGGGGGGGGGGCGGTTCGGACGCCTGGACTGGGGGGACTCGGCCCTGCAGAGGCAGGGGAGGGGCCCGGCGACCCTGGGGTCCGCGGACTCGGGCACGTACCTCCTGCCTTCTTCCTGGCTCAGGGCTGGATGGCCAAGCTTCTCTAGCCGCAGCGTCCTGGGTGAGGAAGGAGGAGAAGTCTCACATTTTATGGTGGCTTTATCCTCTCGGTTCTCTTCCCGAGACACTGGCGACTGAACAGACAGTGGAGCCGTCAGGGAATAGAGGGAGAGACCTGGGGCCTGCCTACCCAGCCCAGACGAGGCAGAGGAGCCTGGAGAAGCACGGCGGGAAGGGGGGGCCTCTCTGAGCCACACCAGACTAGGGGCCCAGGGGAGGGAGGCCAAAGGGGACGGCCTGGGGGGGCGACCCCGTGAGGACCCGGCTCGACTGGGCGGCACTCACCAGCAGCTTCCTCCTATGTTTTCTTAAGTCACTGGGCTGGAAGAGAGACGGGAGGGGATGCTCAGACTCACCCTCCGGGTCCCGAGAGCCAACCAACCCAAGGGGGGCCCGGGGTCCTAGGAGGCGAACATAGGGGTCAGTGCCTCCCACAGGCCTGGAGACAACCCCACAGCGGAGAAGAGCTGGCCCGGAGACCGAAGCCAGGGCCACCTCTGGACGAGAGGGGCACGTCTGGGCCGGCCGCGGGTCTCGTGAGCGCTCTGCGCCTAGGCGAGACGGGGCTGAGGACGCGTGGCAGGCCCTCTGCGACCCCAGGGGGCAGGCGGTGGCCCCACACACCGGGTCGGCACACATCGCGGGAAGAGGACGCCGGGCCCCCGAGGACGGAGCCCAGCAGGCCTGAGAGCCCCCAGGCTGCTCACCCACCGCCCCAGGGCGCTCACCAGGGTCATGACCCCCATGCGGTCCAGGTCCTGGGCAGCACTGCGGGAGGCCAGCTTGGGTGTGGAGCGGCCACTGAGCGGAGGGGACGCGCTGGCCAGGGACAGGGCGGTCAGCGAGGTGGGGATGGAGCCGCGCTTGCGCAGCTGAGTCAGGTTGAGGGCCTCCACGCTGCCGCTGCTCACTCGAGTCTCGATCTCCTCGGCACGCAGCTCCGTGGACTCCTTCTCCTCCTGGATCATCCTGGGAGGGAGGCGAAAGCAGGCCTTGTGTGGGGCCCGGCGAGGCCTGCACCACGCTCCCCACCCGGGCCCCGGGTGCTGCTCCCCCTGCAGCTCACACCACGACTCGTCCCTTCCTCCTTAGCTGACCTCGGCGACCACAGCTCCCCAGTCCAACAGACGCCGTCGCCGGGAAAGGAGGCCCCGAGCCGGCGGGACACAAACCATCCCGGACGGCAGGACTCGACCTACCAGACTACACGGGCAGCCCCGCGTCGGCTTAGGGGCCTCAGTTTCCCCCGTACCTGACGTTCCCAAAGCACGTCCTTTAACTGACACCGACCCCTGATGGACTTTGTTCCACAGAGAAACGAGAAAACCCAGGATGACCCTGCAGGGGCTGGGGTGGGAGGGAGCCTGGGAGACGCGCGTGCGCACACCCTCACACACGCACACGCGTGTGCGCCGACTGGGAGCGAGACCCGAGGGCGCTAGAGGGCCCTTCCCCTGTGGCCCGGGGGGGTGCAGGGGCCACGAGGGCCCTTGGGTGATTTCCTTTGCAGAACACAAGTCGGCAGCCCTACGTGCAAACTCTCCCGCTGGCGCCCTCGTGCGTGTGCGTGTGCGTGTGCGTGTGTGTCAGGGAGGGAGGCCTCCTTTCCAGCGGGTCTGTGAGACCCAGAAGTGGGGGAACCATGGAGGCCGCGGCCCTCGGCGCCGTAAAGCCTAGTGCATCTGGGCTCAGATGTGGCCTGGCGGCAGGTCGCACGCGACTAAGCATCCCCAGGGGCAGCTGCAGCCCAGGTGGGCGTCCCCTTCCCCGCCTGCGAGCCTCGCCAGGATGAGGGACGCTGCAGAACGGGAGCCCGGCTCTCCGCCTCTGCCCCGGGCACACCACCCAGCGCCCCGGGTTCCGGTCCCTTCCCCGGGAAGCGGGAGCAGCGCTGCCTCCCTGAGACGCACGGCCAAGTGGAGCCCCCGCAAAGCCCTCCCGCGACTGGGCCTCGGCGGCGGGCGCGACGGGCTCAGGGCCCCAGTGTCAGGCCCCCAGGGTCAGCCGAGGTCGCACCCTCCCGCCCCGCGCCCGGGCCCAGACGGAGCACTCGGAGGTGCGGCTGCGAGACCACGTGTCCTGGGAGCCCGCTTCCAAGGGGCTGCCCCTGTCCCACCTGATCTCCTCGTTGATGGCGTCCAGCTGCTCCTGCAGCATCATGGCCAGGGTCTGCGCATCCGAGTGGCCGCCGGGGGAGGCAACGTCCACGGAGCCCACCAGGCCCCCGGGCTCGTCCTCATCCACGTCGGAGATCTCGGGGTCACTGTCAAAGGCCGGGGCGGCGGCAGGGGCCAGCACCCCGGGCAGTGGGGACGGCTCCCAGTCCTTAGCGAAGGAGGGGACAAGAGTTGTAATAAGACCCCAGACAGCCCAGGAGCAGGACCGCCCCCATCCCAGCCGCACCGGCCTCTCCCGAGGACCCTCGCCAAGCGCAGGGTCCCGGGCCCGCCTCAGGCCTCAGGCCTCAGAACCTGCACTGTAACAAGTGTCCCGGGGGACTTAAAGCACAGCTCAAGGAGCCGGGTAGCAGAATGGTTAGGGACACGTCCAGGGAGAGGCGGCCTTGCTGGGAAACCTGACCAGTAGCTGCACCGCCGTCGTAAAGTTGCTTGACCTCTCTGTGCCTCAGTTCCCTCATCTGTGGAACGGGGACAGTAGTGGTGCCTGCCCACGTCGTAGGTGACGGTGAGAGCAGAGCGGGGACACGCATGGAAGCACCTAGCACGGGGTGTGGCCCACAGCGGGCACTCCGTAAAGGCCACCCCTTCTGTGCATACAGTCACTATGGGGCTCCAGGGCCCGAGGGAAGCCGAGTGGTCCTGTCTGTCTGCGTCTCCACCGCAGGACCCCGCGGTCATCCCTCTGGGGTGGTGGCCGCTTGGAAGGCACCCGACAAACCTCTCCAGCCCACAAAAGCGGGGAAGAGGAGAGAGCACAGACGTGGGCCGTGCGCCAGGAGGGCAGGGGGCGGGCCTGGGATAGCGAGGTGCCCTAAGCCATCCTCTGGCTCCCACAGCCCCGAGCCCGGCGGGCGCGTCTCCAGCTCCTGGGCTCCTGCTGCATTCTTAGCAACGGAGAGAGCTGAGGGCAAGGGGACAGCGAGATGAGGGGACGCCTCCCCCGGACCCTGCGGGGCCTTAGGGAAGGCGGGGCCTGGCTTCAGGGCAGGGTGTGGGACGCAGGGGCCCTTCCCTGCCTGCATCTCCCCCCCCCCCCCCCCCCCCCCCGCCTGCCCACGCCCACCCACCCCGGGCCAGTCTCAGCAGGAACACAAGGCTGCTGCTCGGAAAGCTTCAGGTGCCATCCCCAGGGCCTCGTGACCCGCCATCCCTCCCCCCCTCCTCCCCACCCCATAAACCACAGCTTTTGCTCCAGGAAGCTTGCCAAGTCCACCTCAGCCCTGCATCTCCCACCCTGACCACCAGAAACACGCCTGCACGCCGGGCACACGTGCATCGGCCTCAGCAGGGCCGCGGGGACCGGCAGGCCGCCAGCCCCGCCACTTGCCCACCAGGAGGCCGAGGCGAGGGGCACAGCTGTTGCAGCTAACAATGGCCCCAACCCCAGGGCTGCAGCTGTTGTCCACACGCGGGAACGGGAGGGGGAGGATTTGTGCCGCACGCCAGCCGTCTGTGAAACCGGAGCCAGGCACGCGGCCGGACTGACCCCAAGCTCCCTGGGGAGGCCCCTCCACACTCACCCCCCACCCTCACCTTGGCAGACTCCTCCCGCAGGGCCGAGTAGCGGCGGTGCAGGCCTGAGGGCGCGTGGGGGGCTGTGCCCAGGGAGAAGCGCACATCCGCTGCACTGCCCGAGCGCGACCTGCGGGGGGGGGGGGGGGGGGGGGAGAGCAGCCCTGAGGCTGAGGCCCCACGCGCAGCCACCAGGCCCAAGAGTCGAGGGATCTCGGCTTGGCGGAGAGAAGCCTCAGCTGGCAGAGGGCTACTGTGAATGGCTTAAGGGCCGCCGTGTGAACAGGAGATGCGATTTAGCCTCTGGAGCCCCAGGGATCAGAACGATCCAGAAAGTTCTAGGGAAGCAGCTTCCATCTAACGTAAGCAGCACCTTCAGATGGCAAGATTTGGCTCAGGAAGCAACTGGTGGCTTCAGAAGAAGCTGAGCTCTCCATCAAAGGGGCACTCGGGCCGAGGGCTCGTGGCCCTGAGAGACTAGAAGGGAGGGTCTCTAAAGATCCTTTTTTTTAGCCCTGAGGGTCTTTGTTTCTTTGTCTTCTCCCCGGCGACCGCCCGTGGGCTCCCCCATAATCCTGGCCAAAATGAACCCAGGCTGCTCCCCATCCCCCGGAGACTTCAAGAGGCCCAGTTCTATCAGGGATGTGGGCCAGATGCCCCCTGGGCGAGGTTTCAGAATCCCAGTAACGTCTGGGATGCCTTCCCTCGTGGACTTCTTCCCCACGCCTCCGAGTTTGGGGTGTGAGGGGGCCTGAGGGGCCAGGGCCCGGGGATGGGACAAGCCTACGGTGCATTGCATGAGGTAGCTGCAGGGAAGGGGGCGCTACTGCTCATCCCCCCTTCTGTCCTGCACCTCAGCCCCAACTCCGTGATGGGTCCAGTATTCCTATGGCCAAAGCCAAGAATCCTCAACCACCAAGGAAAGCAAGCAGTGCAAATAGCTTGGTGTTCCTGAGTCATGAGGCTTATTCACTGGGGTGGGTGGGGGGTCTCTTCTGAGAAACCTACAGGAAGGAAGAAGTCAGAGGAACCCCAAATCCCACTCCCTGCCTCCGTTGCCTGCTTCTCCCCACCGTCTCCCATGCAGTAGCTCCTGGTGAAGCGGAAGACGGTACTCACGTCTCTACCACCCAGACGCCCACAGGCTGCTCTTCCTCCAGGTCATCGTCCCTTTCCCTAATCCAAGCCCTGTGTCTCCACGTTTCCTTGAACCCCTCCAGGGAAGCTGATCCCTATTGCCCTGACACAGCAAGAGCATCACTCAAGGGACCTCAAAGACGCTCTTCTGTGAGACCGTGGTTTGGAGAGAAAACAGCCAGGAGCCCGGAACCTTGAGTGGCATCTACTAGCAGCATCCTCCGTCCTCACCCTGCCGCTCTGGGCGGAGAAGTGGCGGCGGGATTGGGGTCTCAGTTCAACGTCAATCGCTTCACAACATGTAGAGAAAAATCCAGAAGTTCCCCAAAACATGGATCTAATTTAAAAAATACCACTCACCATCTCTTAAAATGCTCTCAGAAAAGGGGATGTCACAACCACAACATGGCACCTCAGCGTCCAACAGTTGGGAAGTTCTGGATGCCTCGCTTCCGTCCCTGGCGCTGCCCTCTGCCCACTGCCAGCTATCTGAACCTCGGTGGCCTGAACGCTCAAACAACAATCCTCCAGAGCCCTAAAGACGGTGTCTCCAAAGAACTAGAATGAGCCACACACTGTCCGTGAGCGGGTCCTACGGGACACGGGTGAGCACATCCCCCGCAGACCCGTCGAGGGCATCACCCGTGGCACTGGGGCGGGAGCATCCTGCCTCTCCTTGCCTCCCGGCAGCCTCTGCTCAGAGGCCTGGCGCCCCTTCCAAGCTGCCCAAGTGAGCTAGGTGACCTCGACCACGTTCTTGGGGTCTCGGTGTCCCACCCTGGATAGGAGGAGGACCCTGAGGTCCTGGGCGGTCTTTTGGTGGGAGGAAGCCTCCTTCCTCAGGGTCCGGGCAGGACCCCATCCCAGCACGCCCAGCCTCCCGCGCTCCAGTACCTGGAGTGGACGCCATCCACAAACGGCCCCCCTCGACCCTTCAGCTGGTCCACCTCTTGGCGCAGCTTCTCAATCTCTTCAGACAGGCGGCCCTGTGCCAGGCAGACCCGGGGTGGGGGGGGCCAGGGAGGGGCGGAGAGGGGAGAGAGGGACAAAAGGACAGCAGAGTTGGGGGGAAGCAGAATGTACTGCGAAGTCCAAAGCCAGGGGCCCCGGCCAGGCCCACAGATGACACCAAGAGAAGAGGTCCGACTGGAAAGCGAGCAGAAGGGTGGGCAGGGGCGGCAGAGGGGCAGGGCCAGGGGAGGGTCTGTCTCGGGCAGGCTTCTAGCGGAGCAGAGCTGCTGAGCCCTGGCCCCCCGACGCGCGGCAGCGGCACAGGCGCGGCTGAGGCAGGGCCAGGGACGGTCCTCCCGGCTCAGGGACTCCTGCGTCACCTGGAGCGAGGCCCCACCGGACCCGGGCCCCGCCTCTCCGCCCGCCCTACGCCCTACGCCTAGGGTCTCCGCCGCGTCTTCACCCTGGGTGGCGAGGCGTCCGCCGCGACGGGCTCTAGCGAGGATCCGCGAAATAACGTCTGCGCAGCCCGGCGCCGCCCGCGTTCCTTCCTCACCAAGCCCGGCCCGCCCAGGCCGCCCGCAGCGGTACCTTGTGATGGTGCTGCTCCTCGATCTGCCGCTGGGAGCTCTCCAGCTCCTGGATCAGCGTGTTCTGGGGGGACAGCCAGGAGCTGGGGACCCGCCGCCGCCCCTCCTGCCCCTCCTGCCCCTGCCTCCCCAGCTCTGCCCACCGGGCCTATTCCAGGACACGCCCCGCCCCTTGACACCCCAACTGCTCCCCTCGGCCTGCCCGCCGAGACCTGTGACCCCGACCCCAACCCCAACACACCTTCTCCTCCAGGGCCGCCATTCGCTCCTTGAGGTGCAGCTGCAGCCGCTCATTGGACTCGCTGAGCAGCCTGTCCACGGTGTCGGACAGCCGCTTGTTGTGGTCCTCGTTCATCTTCTCCCGCTGGCGCACCTGCAGAGCCAGCACCCCTGCTCCCAGGTCACCCCGGGGCCGCCCATCCCCGCGCCTCGCCCGGCGCCAGCCCACTCACCCGTCCCCTACTGGTAGGCCCAGAGCCCCTCGCTCTGGCTCCCGGACCCCCTCCATGGCTCTGTCCCCACCCAGGCCCTGTCCCCCCAGCTCCCTCTTCTTAGGCCTATCCACATGCCATCTGGGGAGGCTGCCTGGGGAGCCCAGCCCGGTGCCCTCACCCTCGCCAGCTCCTGGTTCTTCTCCTCCAGCTGACCCTCCAGCTGTCGCAGATGCTCCTCAATGTTGCCGTGCCTTTCTTCAGCCTGGAAGCAGGCATGGGTCAGTGCAGCCGTAGATGCTCGGCCCTCCTGCTCAGGGCCCGCATCCCACACACCCTCAGCCAGGGTACTCTCCGGGACGGGGCCTCTCACCTGGAAGCACAACTGCCACCGCCACTGCCCTTCTTCCCAAGCAATATCCACACCCTGACTGCTGTTTCCCCAACCCTTTCTACCTGCTCCGAGCCTGCAGCTGGTGGTCCAAACTACCCCACACTTCCAGAAAAAAACTACTTCAAAGCATGAGCTACCGTAAATCTCCTTTATGCTTCCAGGTAGATGGATGGACCTGCCCTTAAGGGCAGAGATGCAAGCCAGACTTTCTGGGTTCAAATCCTGGCTCCTTCTCTTCCCAGGTATGTGGCAATGGGCAAGTTATCAGACCCCTATGTGACTGAATCTCCTAGACTATAAAGATGGATGATAACAGCACCCATAAAATACATTAGCCTAACACCAACCCACAACCCTAACTACTAAACCTAACCCTAACCCCTAACCAATAACCCATAACCCTAATACCTAACCCTGACCACAACTTGAACCATAACCACTAATTCCTAACCCTAATCCCTAACCTTAAACCTAATCCTAACTCTAACCACTAATCCTAAACCTAACCCCAACTCCTAACCCTAAAAAACCCAACCCTAATTCCAACCCCTAATCCCTAACCCTTAACCACAACCTTAACCCCAACCCTAATCCCAAACCCAACCCTAACATCTAACGCTAACACTAAACCTAACCACAATCCAACCCTAACCCCTAAGCCTAACCCTAACACCAACCCCAACACTAACCACAAACCCCTAATCCTAACCCCTAACCCTTAATCCTAACTCTAACCCTAACCCATACCATTACCCCTAACCCCTAACCATAACCATAACACCAAACCCTATCTCCTTCCCTAACCAGAAACCTAAACCCTAACCCCGAATATCTAAACCCTAACCCCTAACTCCAACCCCAACCCTTAATCGTAACCCCTAATACCTAACCTCTAACACTAAGCCCTAACTCTAAATACTAACCTTAACCTTAACCTCAATCCCAACCCTAACCACTAACTCTACACCAAATACCTAACCCCTAACCCTAAACCTAAACCCTAACATTAACTCTTACCCCAAAGCCAACCCTAACCAAACCCTAACCCCTAACCTAACCCCAACCTAACCCATAAACACTAACCCTAACCCTTAGCCCTTAACCCTAACCACAATGCCAACCCCAATCCCAACCCTAATCCCTAGCTCAACCCTAACCCCTAACCCCAACACCAACCTCAACCTTAACCCTAACCCCTAACCTCAAAACGTAATCCCTAACCCTAGCCCCAACCCTAACCCCTAACCCTAATCCTACCTCAACCCTAACCCCAACCCTATAATGTAACCTCAAACCAACCCCAACCCGAACTCTAACCCCAACCCCTAATCCTAACCCCTAACCCCAACCCCAAACCCAATCCCTAACATCAACCCCAACCCCAACCCAACCCCTAAATCCTAATCCAAGCTCCAAACCAAACCCTAACCTCTAATCCCAACCCCAACCCTAACCCCAAACCCCTAAACCTAGCCCCAACCCTAACCCTAACCCCTAATCCCAACCTGAGGCCTAATTCTAACCACTAACCCCAACCCCTAACCCTAACCCCAGCCCCAACCTTAACCCTAACCCCTAGTCGCAACCCCAAGCCTAACCCAAACCCTAATCCCTAACCCCAACCCCCAAATCCTAATCCTAGCTCCAAGCCAAACCCTAACCCCTAATTCCAACCCCAATGCTAACACTAACCCCTAACCCCAACACCTAATACCTAACCCCTAACCCTAATCCCTAACCCTAAACTTGAACCCTAATACTAACCCTTACCCTAACCCAACCCTAACCCATAAACCCTAACACCTAACCCCTAGCCCCTAACCCTAACCACAACGCCAACCCCAACCCTAATCCCTAACCCCAACCCCTAACCCCAACCCCAACCCAAATCCCTAACCCTAACCCCTAACCCCAACCCCAACCCTATTCCCTAACCCCAACCCTAACCCCTAACCCCAATGCCAAACCTAATCCCTAACCCTAAACACAACCCAAACCCTAACCCCTAATCCCCCCAATCCCTAACCTCAACCTCAAACCCAACCCCAACACTAATCCCTAACCTCAAGCCAACCCCAACCCCTAATCCCCAACCCCAACCCTAACCCCTAATTCCAACCACAACTGCAACCCTAACCCCAACCCCTAATCCTAGCCCCAACCCTAACCCTAACCCCTAATCCCAACACCAAACCTAACCCTAACATGAACCCCTAACGCTAGCCTGAACCCTAACCCTAATCCCAACACTAAGCATAACCCTAATCCTAACCCTACCCTAACCCTAACCCCAACCCCTAACCCTAGCCCCCTACCCTAGCCCCTAACTCCTAACCCAAACCCAAACCCCTAATCTCAACCCCAAACCTAACCCTAACCCCTAACCCCAATCCTAACCCCCAACCCCTAACCCTAGCCCCAACCCTAACCCCTAACCCTAACCCTAATCCCAACCCCAACCCTAACCCTAACCCACTGAACGCTGCGAGGACTAGTGAGACCATCCACGCCGACAGGTCCGCTGCCACATGGGGCGCACGCTAGCCGGGCTGTGTCCGCCCCGGGTGGGTGGGCTCCCCCAGGCCTGCGTCTCCGGGGATGGAGAACCCAAGTCTGCGGACGAGACTGTCACACATCCAGCAGTCGGGAAACCCTCCCTAGAGCCGCCCCCCTGTGACTCGTGTGAACCTATTAATCACGTCAGTCCATCCCTTCCTGTCCCTCTGGGGACATGCTAAGCTGCCGTCCCAGCACCCCAACCTGGCCCCCTACGTCCTTAAACCCAGATCCCTAGGAGCCAGCACGCAGGCCAACCCGACGTCACAGAGGTGATGCCACGAGGACGCCCCAACGCCTCATCAGGAGGGGCGCGACTTCCCGGGTGGCGGGGACAGTCGGGGGCCCCCAGGCTCCAGAGGCCCCGGGGCCTGATGCTCACGCAACACGGACGTCCTTCTCTCCCTGGCTGGGCGGAGGCGGCCCCGAGCGAGGTCCCCGGAAAGCGTCAACCTGCTGCGAACACCCCTAGGTCCTCTGGACCCCCTGCCGCCGGCCTGCGCCCGTGCGTCGACCCCGCTCCTCCAGACCCGAGGGCGGTTCCAGCCCGGACGCCTCCCAGTAGCTGTTACACCCCGTCGGGCACAACCCAGGCCCTGCACCGACCCTAAAGCTGCAGGCCTCAAGCGACCGGGCTTGATCCCTAGAGCCGGAAGGGCCCAGCTGCAGGACGCCGGCGACGCTCAGCCTACGCCCCTGCACCCACGCTGCTCACCTCTCCTCTCGGATCTCCTCGTTCCGGGGACGACGTCCTCGTCTTCCACCCAGGCCCCCAACAAAGGCAAGTTGACGCAGTGCTCTGCCCCCCCGGGGTCTCACCCACGTCTCCCAGGGCTCCTGGGCCCTTCCCAGGGACGGTCGCTCCCAGGGGTGAGGAGGGCAGGGATCACAGGCGCGTCCCGGAATCACGCAGTGCGAGGCGCCTTCCTGGCTCCCAGCCCGAGTGCCTCCCATGCTCTGTGCCCCCTGCGCGTGCCGGGGGGCTCGGGAGGCAGCCACGGGCGGGCCGGGCCCACTTGCCTTGGTGAGGGCCGCGATCCTCTGCGCCAGCTCAGCCTCCACCTCGGGCAGCGTCTCCGCCTTGCGCATCGTCTGCTGCAGCTTCTGCTCCGCCACCTCCAGCAGCTCCTGCAGGTGCCGGGCCTTCTCCTCACACTAGCACCGTGGGGGGGGGGGGGGTCAACAGGGAGCGCCCAGGCTCAGGAGAGAGCAGGTGACGGGCGGAGGAGCCGGGGGGCGGGGGCAGGGGGCGAGGACAACCTGGCTCTGGGCCGCCCCCCACGCGAGGATGGCCTCCCCCCTCCCCAGGCGGGGCCCCAGGGGCTCTGGGCCAAAGGGGGGGCTACCTGGCGGTGCAGGGACTCCTTGTTGGCCAGCTCATTCTCCAGCTTGTCGTTGAGGTCGTGGATGGACGTGGCCTCACGCTGAGCAGCCAGGTAGCGCTTCTCTAGTGTCGTGATCCTCTCCTCCATGTCGTCCTTCTGGGCCAGGGCCTGGGGCAGGAGCAGAGGGCACGGGCCGGGGGCCATCAGCATCCCCTGCGCCCCCCGCCAGGGCCTGAGCTCGACCCGGCCCTCTGGCTACTCCTCCCCACGGTGGCCCCAGCAGGCACCCCCCCCCCGCCTGGCCCTCCCTGCACACCCAGGGCATGCAAGCAGCCCCCACCCCCCGAGCGCCAGCACAGCAGGTGGGGCCAGGGGGGGGGCCTCCTCTCACCTCCCGGAGGTCCCGCTGATGCTTGCTGCTCTGCTCCTCTGACCTGATGAGGTCGCGGCGCGCGGTGCCCAGGTCCTCCTCCAGCTCGGCCACCGACGCCGTCAGGCTGACCAGCCGCTCCCGAGCCTGGCTCAGCTCGAAGTTCTGCTTCTCCAGGAGCTCCTGCAGCTCCTCCACCCGGCCCGCGTCGTCCTCCAGGGACGGTGAGCCATCCGTCAGTCGTCGGGCTCCCGGCCCGCCCGGGGCCGGCACCCCCAGAGCATATCCCAGCTGTGCCCCCAGGGGCCCCAGGAGCTCACCCCACACACTGACCAAACACTTTTGCTCCCCTGTGTCTCTTTTGAAAGGACTTTCCGGTTCCACCTGCTGTCTGAGAATCCCGTAACCCAGGAAGGGGCAGCACTAGGGGAACAAAGGCTCAGACGCAGGAGGGACCTTGTGCGACACCCACACACAGGCAGGTGGCACCCAACCGTCCAAGTGGACAAGGAGAGGTGCCTGGCAGCGTGTCGGGCACACGACAGAAAAACCCACAGATTTGTTCGCAGGCGGCGTGGGGGAAGAAGGAAAGAGCGATGGGAATATTGGAGAGAGCCCCCGATGTCATTCCAGCACTCGCTCTCCTGAACCCAGGCCGGCGGGGCCCTGACGTCCCGTCTGGGGGCGGCCCCCCACCCCCCACGCGGTTCCCCAGGACCCACCTTCCACAGCCGCTTGGGTCCCAGCTCCACCGTCCCCTCCTCTTCTGTTGCTCCATCCCGAACCCCTGCCCCCTGCTGCAGGGCAGACACCTGTAGGGTGCGGCCCCCGGGGCGGTGAGTCACAGAGAAGGCGACTCCCTGCACACTGGCCAGCCGGCCCGGCCCCCACAGCGGGGAGCCCAACGCACAACAGCCGGCGTCCAGGCGGAGGGGGCACAGGCCACTTACCTGCTGGTGGGCACCTGCCAGCTGCTCTTCCAAGGTGGTCACACGCTCCAGGGCCGCTCGGAGCCGCTCCCGCACCTGCCCAGGGAGGGGGAGATGGAGAGGACACGGGGACTCGTGCCCATGGAGCCTGGGCTCCACGCACAGCCTGGGGCAGGAGGCGGCCGAGAGCACCTCCCTGAGGGCCCGGGAGTGAGGCCACTGGGAGGAGAGGCCAGCTGTCCCCCGCACCCGGGCCGAGGAACACGCAGGGAGGGGACCCCCGGAGGGAGGCCCCGGGGAGGCGAGGCTGGCCGGGGCCGGGCCGGCTACCTTCTCGTCCAGGGCCTTGTGGTGCTCGAACAGCGACTTGAGGGCCTTCAGCACCTCCACCTCACTGGAGACCCCGGACGGCGACTGGGCCTGGCGCTTCACCACGGTCATGCGCAGCGACCGCTCGTGGCGCGACACCAGGCACTCCAGATGCTCCAGGAGTAACTGGCAGGGGCAGGGGCAGCGCAAGGGGAGGGCGGTGAGCCGGTGCCCGGGGGCCTGAAGGGGGGCCAAGGACCACCGGGGGGACAGCAGGACGCCCGTGCTGCCCTGGCCTCCGCCCTGGGGCCCCGACCTCCCATGGCCACCCCCCAAGACAGGAGGAGGTCAGCAGCGGGCGGGAGATGCCTGGCCCTGGCCTAGCCACCCCGTGGTCGGCGGGGCTCAGCCCCCACACACACAGCAGGTCACCCGCTTACCCTGGTGTTGTTCCGCTCTGCCTTCAGCTCTGAGATCTCCTCCTCCCTTTCTAGAAGCTGCTCCCGACACATGCTCAGCTCCCGGGTCAAGGTGGCAAATTCCTGCAAGCCCCCAAGGCCCCTGAGTGCTCGGGGGCTTTCCCTGGAGCTGCCTCCTGCTTGCCCCCATCGCTGATGGGATCCCATCAGCGCCCCCGCCCCTTGCTTGGGGCAGCTGCCCCCACGAAAGCCCCCAGGCATCCTCACTGCAGAGCTGGACTGGAGCGTCCCGGGGGCGGGGGCCACATCATGGGGGACCGCGGGGTCCCCCGCAAACTCCACGTATGTGTTAGGGTGCAAGGGGACGAGGTGGAAACAGGAGCCAGAGAGTCCCCGAATCTGCTCTGCAGCCCCCGCCTCCTCCAGCAGCAGTAGGGCCTGGTTACGTCATCTCTCTGGCACCCCGAGGACCCTCCAAGGCCTGGAGACCCAGAGGGGAGTCTCCCCTCCCGTGCGGCTGGGTGAGGTCCCGACAGAGACCCATGGGTGCTGCCCAAGGAAGAGGGTGGGCTTCGAGGCGAGGGCCCTGGGAAGCTGCCTCGCACGCCCTCCCCAGGGCTCTACAGCTACGGGGCCGGCGGGCGAGGGAAGGGCCCACGTGTGTGCATGTGCGTGTGCGTAGGTGTGTGAGAGAGAGCAAGGCGGCCGGCAGACCTGGCCGGAGGCCCCAGGCTCTAACCCACGTCACAGGGATCCCCGCCGCGGTCCAGGGCCCCCGCTCCGGCCTCGCCCAGCGCCACGCTCGGGGTCCCCCCTCCGGGAGCCCTGCTCCCAGCGCGTCAGGCCCGCACACGCCACGCCGAGGCGCTCTCACGGCCCAGCTTGTCTGGGTCGGACACGCGTCCTGAGGGGGAGGCTGGCCCCGCGCTCCCAGGCCCCTCGCACCCTCCAGGCTGACGCAGACATCACCCCGCCCCGGAGTTTTCCAAGAGCTGGGCCACGCTCTGCGGGCGCCCGGGGCCTGGAGCGGCCCTACCCTGAGGCCTGCACACGCGGCGACTCGGGACGGGAGGAGGCATCCCCGAGCCACCCACACGGGGCCTCGGCAGGCAGGGCTGTGGGAAGGGCCGCGGGAGCCCGAGGGCAGAGCCGGAGAAGCCCGGCCGGTCAAGGCCATGGCCAGGGGTGGCCAACACCTCACACCCTAGGAGCCCAGGCCTGGCCCCACGGCTGTCCCACGCCTCAGTTTACACGCACAGCACGCTCACACACACACTTACGTCCAGAGACAGGACTCGCACGCCCCCGGCCCCACGCCACCCTCCAGGGACCCATGTTCTCTCCCTCAACCCCCTGGGCTCCCACCCCGGGACACCCGCCTCCCCCGCGACCCCAGCCCATCTGACACCTGCTGCCAGGACCACCTCCCGAGGCGTGACACCGTCTACAATGCTGACTACAAACTTCTTGTCCTGGTTTTCAGATTTCCCTCTCGTGGTTCCTTTGCACACACCTAAGATCCAGGCAGCCCGGTCACCCGCTGGGTGCAGCCCTCCGCCAGCCTTCCTGGTTCCGCACCTCTCCCGTCCCCCACCCCGGAGGGCCCAGCCCTCGGTCAGCCCCTGATGAGATCACGCCTACATTTCAAAGCCTGTGTCGGGGGGATGCACGTCCTTGGGGCCTTCGCAGACCCCCCCAGGGAAGCCTGCCTCCCCCGCTAACGCCGGCTGGGACGGAGCTGGAGAGCCCCAGCCTAGGAGCCGGTCTGCGGCCACCAACACTGCGAGTGTGGCCATGTCCCAGGCCCTGAGCTGGGCCCTGGGGACACGGTGACAACACAGACACGGCCCCTGCCTTCCTGAGGCTGCCGGGATGGGCCTGAATCAAACCCCAGCCGCGTCCCATCAACCCTGCGACCTCGGACAAGCGGCCCAGCCTCCTTGAAGCTCCGTCTCCATCTGGACGCTACAAGGACAGGCCTCCCAGCAGCGAGCAGCACAGGTCAGGCAGCGACTCTTACCCCGGGGCCGGTCCTCCAGTCCCTCTCCTGCCTCGTCGGTGAGCCCCAGGGCAGGACTGGCTCCTCCATCCCCCGGCCGCCCCGTCCTCCCTCCACCAGGACCCCTGCTCCCCTGATCCTGAGGCCCTGCCACCACCTCGTCTGAGCCCTGCGCCCACCCGGCTCCACCGTCACTCTTGTCCCCACATGTGTGGGGACGGGTGTGGAGCTGAGTCTGCAGCGGGGTCTGCTCAGGGGGCCGCCCCGGGCCCCCCACCCCTGCACACACAGGCTGGGCACCGGGCTCATCTCAAGCTTCACTAGCAGGCGGTACCCACAACGGAGCTGCAAGCACGAGGCGAGGCCGCAGCGCGCTGACCCCAGGGCTCAAGGTCCCCGGCTTGTGGGTCCAGCCCTGTCTAGCATTTGCTACGCGACGCCTTGTGTGTTCCACGGGTGCAGTGAGGGGCGGACCAGGTGATCCCCAAGGTGCCGTCTGCAGCCGGGCTCGTCCCCTTCCAGCCTCGGGCGCCACCTGCTGGCCGCGCCGGCTCCCTGCGGTGGGCGGCCGGGCCCGGGGTCCAGGGGAAGCCAAGTCCGGCTGAGGAGGGGGTGAAGGTGCACAGGGACGGGGTTCCGGTTCCATGGAGGGACACGCAGGAGAGTCACATTTATTGATATGCAAATAGACGCAGATAACGGAAAGCCCAGAGCAGCGGCTCCAGGGCTGGGGGGAGCCAGGCGACGGAGGGGCACACCTGGCCTTACCTGGGGGAGGGCGGAGTTGAGGTGGCGCTGCAGCTGGTCCCGCTCGTGCAGGGCGTCCTGCAGCCGGCTCTGCGTGGCTGCCAAGGTCTCCTGACTCTCCCGGAGGGACTCCAGCAACTTCTCCCGCTCATCCAGCATGTTCACCATCAGCTGCTCAAAGTTGGCGTCAGCATCGGAGCCATGGGGGGGCCCCAGGGGGTCCCCCTCGTTGATTGTGGGCATGACCTCGCACATGGCGGGGGTGGGCCGGGCCTTCTCAGCGTCGGGGGACAGGGGAGGAGTTCACGGGGCTGGCACCCCCAGGGGGACCTGGTGCATGGGTCTCGGAGCAGGCGCCAGGCGAGTGGACAGGTGGGCAGGGGCCTCGCCCATGGCATCAGTCGCTCTGGCTCTGAAAGGGGCCTGGCGCCGGGCGCGCCCCTGTGCACAAGAGCCACAGGGCCTGGCCTAACCTCTCCGGGCTGGGGCTGGGTGCCCGGGGTCGCCAGACGAGCGGGCAGCAGCCGAGCGTGGCCATGACGGGCAGCGAGCGCGGGCCTGGGAGAGGGCCCGTCGCTTAGGCGGAGCGTCGGAGCCTGGCAGCATCCCAGCTGGGCCCAGCGACACCCATGGCTCCTGGAGAGCGGCGGCCTGCGGGAGAAGAGGCGGCCGTGAGGACGGCGTGGGGGCGGGCTGGGGGGTGGGGGGCAGCAGGACACGGGGTGCCTCTTCCCCAGGCTCGCTCACTCAGCACTCCCAGGGCACGCCCCGTCCTCTGCCTCAGCTCCCTGCCCCCGCTGTCAGGAGCGGTGCAGTGGACTGGCTCCCCACCCACGTGGCTCCCCGGCCAAATATAGAAATGATTCAGGCAGTGGCAGGGGAGCAGCCACCAGGCTGCCCAGAGTCCTCCCGAGACGAGGGGGGTGCTGTGCCCCCAGCCATCATCCCAGCACCAGGCCCGGGGAAGCCAGACGCGTGCAGGGTTCCCAGGGGTGTGGACGCACACACGCAGACTCCTGGGCCCCCACCCTGCCCACTGACACGGCCTGGTCCCCGGGAAGGGCTGGGCGGGCCCTGGGGTGGCAGGAGCCCTGACCGACTCCACGCCTGTCATGCAAAGAGGCTTCTGGCTTCCCCACGCCCGACACCTGGTGGGGGGCAGGCCTGCCTCCTGGTGCTGGAGGAGGAGCTGAGTGACCTGAAGGAACCAGGGCAGGAGGGGCGGGGGTCACTCTCCTGCTGTGGACGGGCCCCTCGTCCACCCGGGGAACTGCCAGGGCAGGCCCAGCTGGGCGGGCAGCACGTGCACCTTGACTGCACACAGGGAAGCCCCGGGGCGGGGACAGGACGGGGTGCGGAGCGTGCAGCTGGGGACTGCTCCCCCTGCCCTGAGCCTCTGACCCCCTGCCCACCCTGGGAGGCCACCGCGGTAATCAGGCGTCACAGCTCCTGCTGCCTGAGAGACAGGGAGTGAGGCAGGCGGCAGCGGCACCGCAGCGCGCTCCCAGGAGATGCTCCAGAACGGTGCTCTCCGTCCTTCCACCACTTGGGAGACACAGGGACAGCGTCTCATCCACCCCCCGGGGAACAGGCAGACTCCGACAGGCAGGGAGAGGACGGGAGGCGTCAGACCCCACGTGGGAGGCGGGACACCCGCCGCCGGGCCCCCTGCACTGTACTCAGGATCTGGGCAGAAATGAGGGCAGCAGGGGAGGCTGGGGAGGAAGGTGGGCCTGGACTGGGCACCTGGCAAGGGAGCCCAAGAGTTGTGGGGTACGTGGGCAGGCCCATACCCGTCCAAGCAGGCACGGAGACGGGCGGCCTGGGACGTACACAGTGGCCACACACACGCCCCAGACACAGACTGACACAGACACTAACCCAGGGGATCCGTTCTCATGCCAGGCAGCCACCGTGGAGGGTTAGGGCCCCGGGGAGTCAGGACTGTCAGGGCTCCAGTGCTGGGAACAGCAGCCCCTCCTCCTCCCCCTCCCCCCTCCATGAACTGATGAGGGAGGAGGAGTGAAGGGCAGGCGGAGGAAGGGCCGCTTGGGGGAGAATCTGTCCTTCAAGGAAGAGCCCGGGGAGCTCAGGGGCCCAGGGGTCAGCGTCAGCCCAAGGGTCCCCAGGCGTCCTGCCGGGTGGTGGAGACCAGGGAGCTGGGACCTGGGACCTCTAGGCCGCCTCCAAGCAGGTAGGTGACCTCAGTCTTGTCGCCACCCCCGGAAGCTCTGCTGTGAGGACCCCCACCCCTTCTGCAGCCTCCAGGGACCGCAGAGAACAGCCTGGAAAGGCAGGCAGCCCCATGGGCCTGCAGGGGCGGGGTCAGCCCCGGAGGTGGTCGTGGTCGTGGTCCTGGTCGTGGTCTCCCCTCCCTGAATCCTCTGATCGTCCTGGCGGCTGAGAAGCTGGCGGCCACGGGCTCTTTCACAGCCTCCCCCCAACCGGGTGCCAGGGGAGCCCCGCACCCCCTCGGGAAATGGGCCACGGCGGCAGGTGGAGCCCAGAGGGCGATGCCAGGCAGACGCCCCAGGACCCCGGCCGGCGGTCGGCGCAACACAGAGAGCACAGGGACCCTCTGGGGCTGCCACGCGGGGAGGCCCAGGCCTCTGGCTCCAGGGCCATGGGAATCGCGCGATTGTCATCGCGGCCCAACAGGAGCCTCCTCGACTCCTGCACAATTTCTAAGTGTCACTCGCACGTCCTGATTCGGAGGCGCCGGCTACCAGCCCCCAAGTGAGCATGTGAGGGGCTTCACCCGGGAGGGGTGTGGGCAGGCTGTGAAAGGGGGGGGCGCCCCAGAGCAGGTGCGAGGGTGAGTGTGCGTGTGCGCGTGGGGGGGGGGCAGGCCCGTATCGCTAAACACACAAGGGCAAACCTGCGGCCTCTCTGGCTTCCCAGAAGTCACCCCCATCTCTTCCCAACACACAGGAGGGCTGTGCACTTGGGTCTGCTGCTCTGGCCAGCCACGCACACACGCGCACACGCGCACACATGCACACGCGCGCTACCTGGCTCCCCGCGGCCCCACCAGATGGCAGGCAGGCCCCGCCACGCTGAGGGAGCCCGTCGAGGGCAAAGCTGGCAGCCCCGTGGAGCCACAGAGCCAGGGCCGAGTCGGCGGGGCTGTGCTCAAGCGTGAGCGGGCGTGGGCGAGGCACACAGGTGCCTCAGGGTGCAAGCCCCCCCCCCAGCAAAGAGGTGAGAGGGCACGGCCGTGCCCCGGCCAACTGGAGGGCGGGAGGGAGGTGGGCCTCCAGGAAAACGCGCCAGGCCTGAGCGCGGCCCTGCCTTCCCGGGTGTCCACCCCGCGCCAGGCGCCGTGGGTCGATGCTCACAGTTCCCGCGCCGCAGATGGGAGGATGGGGCCCCAGAGTCAGGCCCCACGTCTACACGGCTGCTCCGGGGAAGAACCAGGATTCCACCCCAGTCTGTCTGGTGCCAAGGAGGCACGGGGTGGAGGAAGGGGAGGAGAGGAAAGAGCACAGCTCCCCCACGATTTCTCGCCGCGACCCGGGGCACATGAGGGACGGCTGGTCGGGGCCTCCCGCACCCGTGCCCGCCGGGAAGCCTCTGCACCGTGGCCGCCGCGCTCTCTGCCGGGTGACCCACGCCCACAGCCCCGCCCACCACCCTCCGAATCTCTCCCACCCCCTCCCCCAGGGGCCCCAAACTGAGCTGTGAGCAACCCCCGGAGCCCGCCCACCACCCCACATTCCCACTCAGCTCCCTAACCCCGACCGTCCCCCAGGGCAGTGAAGTCCAGCTGCCCACCTCTCCTTCCCTCCAGCCCAGAAGCTTCCCCTCCTCTCCCCTCCCTCGCCCTGTTCAGCCCACCACCTCGAAAGCCTTGCCCTCACTCCTTCCTCCTGTCCTCCAAGAGCCCCCGGAGGCCCCCCCCCCGCTCACCGTCACACTCCCAGGCTGACCCACTGCTCACGAGCTTCTAGCATCTCACCCAGCCTGCCTCAGTCTCCCCTTCGTGTCAGTCTAAGGAGCCCATCTCGCCCCTGGGGCCTTTTCTGAGCCCTCATGGATTAGACGGGGCCTTCCACAGGCCCAGCACGGCCCTTTACCTCTCTATGTGACACGTCGTCTCATCCGAAGACTCTGGGCCGAGAACCATCTCCTACTTACCGCTGCACGCGCCCACACGGGCCCTAACATACGTGGAACTGAAGAGACACACGTGACGGGATCGCTCTGGGCAGACCCTCCCCGACCAAATTCAAAGAAGAGGAACTCCAAAACAGTACAGACTGGCTCAAGGACGGGGAATATGTCCATTTATCTGGAACTCTGAATTTTTTTTTTTTTAAGATTTTAACCCACCCATTCACGAGAGCCCCAGAGAGAGAGGCAGAGACACAGGCAGAGGGAGAAGCAGGCTCCCTGCGGGGGTCCCGACTCGGGACTCGATCCCAGGGCCGAGGGCAGACCTCACCCGATGAGCCCCAGGCGCCCCGTGCCCTCTGAAAGGTAAAGCTTGAGAGCAAGACGGGGGCCGTGCCCTGCAAGGCCGACTCTGGGGCTGATGGGTCTGAACGCCAGCTCCTCCGCTCACCACTCGGGTGACTCGGCAAAGACTTGATCTCAGAGCCTCAGTTCCTCACCTGTAAAGCGGGGAGGGTAGTGACGTGCACCTCAGGCCGCTGGTTTGGGGAGCTAGTGCCCCCAGGGCTGAGATCTCGGCGGGCGCCGCAGCGACTCCTGGGGCCTAGGTCCCTAAAGGACCTGAGGCCGGGCCTGCTCTAAGCAAAGTGAAAATCCATATTAGCTACGGGAAGCCATTTCCAGGAAAAACTCTTGGAAAAGTTCTCCGACGGCTTCTTGCAGCTGCACAAATCCCCTCAAAAGCACCCAGCCCGGGTCCCTAAGAGACCGTCCGTGAGACTCCGTCTCTCTGGGCTCCAGGTTCCCAAATCTGGAACATGAAGATGGTCACACACGCGCGCGCTGGTGAGCTTGCAGGTTCACGAGGGTCAAAGGGGATGAGACACACCGACCTGGGAAGTAGAAAACGCTACCGGGTACCGGTGGGTGCCACCGCCGCCGACCCTCCACCCTTGACGCCAGGCGCGGTCCCGTGGACACGGAGCGGAGGTCTCTAGGCAGCAGGTTCCCCCGGGCCCCCTCCTGTGAGGCCCACTGCCCGGCTGCCCCCCAAGAAGTTAGGTTGGGGCCGCTGCTTCCTGAGACTTGGCGTCTCTCCGGGGTGAGGCCACGAGGTACAGCCCAAGCCAGGCCCTTCTTAAGAATGATGGAGGCGCTGTTAACAACCCCCGGGGCGCAGGGGTAAACTGAGCACCCCCCCCCCGCCCCCTGGCTGCGGGGTGAGCTCAGCGCTAACATCAAAGGCTAGCGGGGAAAGGGGGGCTAGGAGTCTCTTCTACTAAATATGTCCTCTTCTAAAATACCCCAAAGTACAGCCACCACAACTACCTCTTGGAATGAAGACCGGGTTTGCAGACTGAGAGAGTCCATGAGGGGCTGCCCGGGGACAAGGACTCAGTACGGAGGGGAGGCCACTGGAGAGGGCTCGAAACTCCCTTTTCTTAATTTAATCCCATCAGTTCCAGATCCGTCTGGGACCCCTGGGGGGCTCAGCAGTTGAGTGTCTGCCTCGGGTTCAGGGCGTGACCCCAGGGTCTTGGGATCGAGTCCTGCGTCCTGCGTCGGGCTCCCTGCATGGAGCCTGCTTCTCCCTCGGCCTGTGTCTCTGCCTGTCTCTCTGTGTGTCTCATGAATAAATACATAAAATCTTAAAAAAAGAAGTTCAGAAGTCTCTGCGTGAGATCAGCCCATAGATCGGGAGCTGTCACGCAGCAAAACAGAGCTGCCCGGGGGGATGAGGAACACGAGAGGGAAGTGCTGTCCGGTGCCTGAGTACTCAGAACTGCATCACCAAGTGTGCGTGTGTCCGTGGTCACAAAAGGTGTGTGTGTGGGGGGAGGGTGATGAAAGAGAGAGAATGTGGGGGCGCGTGTGCATCCACGCTACAGCGTGTAAGAGCACAGTCATGGGAGGGTGTGGCGTGATGGACGGCCCTGCGAGGTGCGTGTGTGTAAGAGTGTGGCCATGAGAACAGGTCCTGGGAGCGTGTGCACGAGGCAGTGCGTGGTATGTGTAACGGGGGGTACCTACGCACAACGCGGAGACAGACTGTGCGTCGTCGTATGTCAAGAGCTTGGGACGTATGACTGGTCGCGACGATGTGTCGTGAGTGTGTGGTCAGGTAAGCACGTGCCCCTGGAGCCAGGAAACCACGTATGCTCAGAAGGGCATGCGGGCGCCTGACCGCTCATGCGTGTGCGTGTGTCCTGCAAGCACACACCTGGTCATGAAGCACTGTGAGCGCGTGCGTGGTCCTGAACCTGCGTGAGGATGTGTGAGACGGAGACGAGGGAGGGACGGCGATGATAATGAAGGAATGAAAATCCCGTTTGTTCCAGGCGCTCTGCCCCGAGCAAGGGGCAGGGCTCTGGGGCACTCGCAGGTGGCCCGGGGTGAGCGGAGGCCGAGGAGCTGCACGCGGCCCACCCTGCTACGCCCTCCACCCATCAGAGCTGCGCGGCACGGCTTCCCAGGCTTCCCACGCCCCGGGCTCCGTGTGCCTTAGAGATGGTGGGGCCCCCGCAGGGTCTCCCAGAAGGTCGCTCCTCCCAAAACGGCCCAGGCCAAGGTCCTCGCCTGGTCCCCCCAAGCGTCCACTGTCAGCATCCTCCTCCAAGCTGGGCAACGGCGAGTCTGTTCTGTAGCGGCCGCCAGGGACCCCTACCATCCCCGGCCTCCCCCGCCCCACCCCTTCCCTAGAACCTCCGAGGTCCCACAAGGCGTGCGACGGCTTCCACACCTCCCCCCGACAGCTCGGTCTGTAAGACTGTCCTTCAGGAACAGGAGCTCACCACGGAGGAAGCCCTCATCGTCCCAAGGAAACGTCTTCTTAAACTGAATGGAAGCCTGTCTCCCCTTTGAAACGACGGTTACCAATCTGATGAAAGCGGCCACGGACTCACATGAGCCACATATTTACGAGAATTCAACTATCTTGGGTGAGCAAAATAAGCAGTAACAGCCTCTGATGCAAACCAGCTATTTCACCTGACACTTGACTACAAAATCACATCGTACAGCACGTACTCTTTTTAAAATCACTGTACACGTTACACGATTAGCGTAGAGCGTACATAACGTCTACTCTGTACGTGAACATTGCTCAGCATTAGAAACCTAAACCCAGGGCAGCCCGGGGGGCCCAGCGGTTTAGTGCCGCCTTCGGTCCAGGGCATGACCCCAGGGTCCCGGGATCGAGTCCCGCATCGGGCTCCCTGCGTGGAGCCTGCTTCTCCCTCTGCCTGTGTCTCTGCCTCTCTCTCTGTGTCTCTCATGAATAAATAAATAAAATCTTAAAAAAAAAAAAAAAGGAAAAGGAAAAGAAACCTAAGCCCATACACCATGCTTTATGGGAGATTCGGGGATTTTCACTTCACCTACCACCCACGGAGACGTGACGCCACTGTGCTGGGTCCCCAGAGGCTTCTCTACCCCGGGTTGAATATTTCTAGTTGCAAGGAGGCCCTGCTTCACTGAACCCAAGGAATCAAACAGACCTCTTGGATCCAATCCAACAATTACTTATTGAGTAGATTTCCACGAATTCAATGTTGAGCCAGGCGTTGTCATGGATACGAGAGGCAGGTAAGACACGCTGTCAGCCCTCAAAGCGTTTCCAGTCTACTTGAGACAACTCGGAGTGGCGCCCCCGACCCACAGCCTCACTGTCCGCGATCTCAGTCCCCCGCGGTCACACTGATGGGAGCACTCAGTCCTCCCTCTGATGCGTCATCCGAAGATCACCGGGAGCCGAACGCCGCGTCACAAAGCCCGTGTCATTCGGTCACTTCATCTCATCACGCAGCCATTTTATCATCTTGCATCATGACAAGGGTGAGCACAGTGAGGTGTTTAGAGAGAGCACGTTCCCACAGCCGTCATTACGGTATATTGTTAGATTGTCCTATCTTCGCATCACTGCTGCTAACCTCTTACCATCTAAACCATCACCGGTGTGTGGCCTGGGAAGAAAACAGAACATCCAGGTCCATGGTGCATGTGGTTCAGGCACCCGCCGAGGGTGGGACCGTGTCCCCCGCGGAAAGGGGGCCTCTGTACACACGGGGGGTCCGGAAGCAACAGGGAGCAGCACGGGACTAAACATCCTCCCGCACGGCCTGGCGGCGGCTCAGAGCACCACCCGGAGCACCACCGACTGCATGAACGGGCGCGTTTCTCCCCCAGCTCCCAGAACCAGGCAGCCCCAGCCAAGGCCGCGCCCCGCAGGAGGCAGCCGCTGTGTGGGAGCCACTTCCCTGGAGGGGGTGTGCGGCCGCAGGGCCTGAGAGCCGAGCAACGAGCTGCGCAGCAAGGGGCGGCCGGCCTGGGGCACCCCCAATCAGAGGTGGGCAGGCGGCCCCGGCCCTGGAGCGGCAGGCTGTGCTAGCCACCCACCCCACCCCGCGCGTGGCATTGTCAGGTCCCGTGGGCCGTCCCAGCACAGCGAGGCCCGAGGGTCCCCTGGAAGCCGCCCCCTGCACCACAGCCCACCCAGTACTTCCTGCCCCACTGGCCGCCAAAGCGCCCCGCTCCTGCGAGCCAGCACCGTATGCCCTCCAGAGCTAATTATAGGGCAGAGCTAGCGGGCCAGAGGGGGGACAGATGGCGGCCTGGCGAGCCTGCGGTACACCACCCCACCCCTCCCTTGACCTCCCGCGCCTCTCCTGATCCCATACCTGGGACCTAGACTCTGAGGCCGCTCTCGCTCCGCTCCTGCTCCCTACCTGCGCCTCTCCAGGCCGCACGTGCCACGGGCAACTCCGTACCAGTCCGAAGCCACACCCGGCTTCCACAGCACCCATCCAAGGGCCTAGAGCCCGAGGCGACAGTGTTCCTGGCAGTAAAAGGCCTCAGCTAGTACCTCCGCATCCTAAAGCCCCCTCGGCCCCCAGCTCCCTGGCCCTACTGGGCCTTCACCGCTGACTCCCCCTCTGCTCCCCAGCTCTCACCCTGCCATCCTCAGAGGCTCAGAAAGGACCCACTGGAATCCCTGATGACTCCTGCCGACTCTAAGATTCTGGCAATCAACTCAGAAGAGACTCAGGAGCCTGGCTGCCTGCCCTGCCCTGCCCTGCCCCTCCCACCCCTCCCCACCACCCAACTACCAGGCCTCATATACTCCACGGTTCTGACATCACGACAGACGCGTCCGCACACGCCCAGATACCCCTGGGCAAGATTCCCCTCCACACCCCCGTCCCCCACAGCCTTCCATCCTCTGGGGAGGGCATCTCCCACCGTGCCGGGTGTCCAGTACTGGCCCCCAGTACTCATTGTGCTATTGAGCATCTCATTATTTTGAGATGCTGTTTATCTTGGGCATCGGGACAAAATCTGAGAAAAGAGCCGAGGGAAAGCATGCAAACTGTTCCTCTGGCTACGGCAGCTTCTCCTGGGGCTACCTGGCCAGTTAACAGCGGTGGGGGGAGGGAGGACTGGAATCCAGTTCAGGCGGCTGTTTGAAGGCACCGGGACAGGGCTCTGCTTTTTTATGATCTGAGAGCAATGTAGCAAATGGGGGGAGGGGGGCAGGGGCTGTTAAGGGAATGCGCCCTGTGTGGGCCTTTTCAGCTGCTCCGTGGCCCAGAACTGCCTGCAGAAGCCGCAGCACACAGCACAGAGCTGGGCATAGAGCAGGAGCCCAGCACATGTGTCCTGGGTGTTGCACATAGTACTAGGCACCGGCTCCAGCACCCCCGGAAGGGTTGCGGGAAGTCCCGGGACCCAGCTCCTGGAGGGGCCCCTGGAGCTCCCGGCAGGAGGGGGTCTCCGCGCTGAGCACACGTCCCTCCCTCTCGGGGGTACTCACCAGCGAGCCTCTCCTCCAAGGTGACATCAGCGCCCAGGGGCACCTCGCCCCGCATCCCTCCTCCACCCACACTACATCTCCGGGCCCGCAGCCCGACCTGTCTTCTCAGCCGGCAGCAGCCCCGCCGCGTCCCCGCCGGAGGTCGCCCCGGCTGCCCGCCCTGCGTTCCGGGGCGTTCCGGGGCGCCCACTCTCCCCGCCCCCGGCCGACCTCGGGCCGCCGCCCCCCCCCCCCCCCCGGGCCCGGCACAGCCGCGAGCAGGGCGGGCGGCGCGAAGGCCCCGGGAGCGCGGGGCCCCGGCACCTCGGAGCTGCCGCTGCCCCACCCGGGGCGACACGCGGGCGCGGGCCGTCCACCTGCTCCGGGGCTCGGACCCCGGCCGTCCCCCCGGGCTGCTCCGCCCCAGCCTCGCCCCAAGGGCACGGGGCGCCGCAAAGGCCGGCGCGGGGCGGCGGGGCGGCGGGGGCGGCGGCAGCTCTGCCAGCGGGGGCGGCCTCGCGGGGCGCGCGAGACGGACCCTCCCCGACTGGGGCGCGCGGGGCATCGTCGCCCACCGGGGCGGCCGCTCACCTGCCTGCAGTCCCGGAGGCCGGCGGCGCAGCCCGGAGCGGGAGGAGCCGCCCCCGGCCCGCCGAGCCGCCGCGTCCCGGAGCGAGGAGCCGAGCCGGCGCCGAGGCAGCTGCAGCTCCGCCGGCGCCGAGGCCCCACCCCCGGGCGGAGCCTCGCGATCCCCGAGGCCCCGCCCCCAGGGCCTGGCCCCACCCCCTCGAGGGCGGAGCCTACGCGCTCCCGCGGCCCCGCCCCCAGGGCATGGCCCCACCCCAGGGGGCGGAGCCTGCGCGCTCCCCGAGGCCCCGCCACGCCCCCAGGGCCTGGCCCCACCCCAGGGGGCGGAGCCTGCGCGCTCCCCGAGGCCCCGCCACGCCCCCAGGGCCTGGCCCCACCCCGGGGGGCGGAGCCTGCGCGCTCCCCGAGGCCCCGCGGCGCCCGCGCCATCTTGGCCGCGCCTGCGGAGTCGCCCCGCCCGCCCCGCCCGCGCCGCGTCGCCGCAGCTGCTCCTTGCGGCGTGGACACCCGCCCTGCGCCCTCGGGGCCCTGGCACCCGGCGGCACCCGGCGGCACCCGGCGGCACCCGGCGGCAGCCGCGGACCCGCGCTCCTGGAACACGCGCCCCCCGTGGCCGCAGGTCGCCCCGCGTCGCGCCGTCCGCGGCCGGAACGCGGCGTCCCCTCAGGCCGCCTCAGGCCGCGACGAGCCGGGGGCGTCCCCCGCGGCCTCTCCCTGCTTCCCCCGCGCGGCCAGCACCCGGCGAGTCTCGGGAGAAGGCGGGGCGGTCCGAGAAGTCGTGATTTAGGAGGAGGTGAGAAATGAGGCTAAATTCGTGTCGTTTGGTCCGTCCGACCCCGAGAGCGAAATCGAGAGGCGTATTTTTAAAGCGAAAATCACAAAGCAGCTTTTACAAAAGTAGCCCAGGAAGTCCCAGCCGTTCTCCAGGAGACCCTGGGACCCGGGGGCCCCGCCCCGCCCCCCGCCCCCCGCCCCCACACCAGCCCTCCGGGAAGGCCGCGGAGCCGTCGCGCCACCAGGGGTCACCGCTGAGGAGACGCCTGACACTATCCATAATCCTCATAAAGTTTAAAAACTTGGAGGTGGGGTCGGAGCACAATCGTTAAGCCAGATTCGTTTCACTCCCCTTTAAAGGCCCCTCCGAAGTCGGGGGACACCACGACGACGACGACGACGACGGTGACGACACACGCTCCACCAGGGTTCCCTTCTGGTTCCCTTCTGCTTCGTGGCACCTGTGGTCCGGGGAGCCAGAACTCCGTCCTCTGCCTCAAAGAAGCAACTTGTGATTGAGGCAGGTGCTTCTTTAGGGCGCTCACTGTCCTTGGGTCCGTTTTCTCATTCACGCGCCCAAACTCTGATTTTCACCGACCCAGGCCTTCCGGGAGAAGAGCTTTCAGTACCGCCCCCCCCCCCCCTCGGGATAAGGTGACCTTTTTCACTGTTAGCAGCCGTATTAAGCAGATGCTTCCTAACAATATTCTTTAAATAGCAGAGGCTAGGGACGACGGTTTAGGAAAGAACCACAATAATCTAACAGTTTGGTTTGTGATCACAACTGCCCCCGCAAGATTTTCGTGGTTTAAGAATATTTCCGTCATGCCCATCTCATGGCGCCATCCAGCTAATTTCCAGCTCACTGGCTAATGCGGAGGGCTGAGAAGGGAGGACAAGTAGCAAGGTTATCTTGTTAACAAAAACAGAATCAAACCAAAATCCCACCCCTGATCCTCTTCTCAGAGTACACCAGCGACAGAAAGTCCTCTGACGAATAGGACATTAGCGTTTCTGCAGGGATGAGAGGCCAGGCTTCTGGAGGCACAGAGGATGATGGGCAGGGCAGAGGAAGGTCACTAAATGTTTATAGTTCAGGAGGCTGGTTTCAACACTGGATGCATTTTTCTTAAACGACCTTCAGCATAATAAATGCCTTTCTAACAACTCAATGAAAATACCATTATCCTTCTTATCCTTCCTGCTATTCTTGGTTAGTTTTACGATTTACTTAGAAACACGTATTTCAAAGACTCTTTGATCAATCTCCTATACCTTTCAGGCTGATCAGGGACAAGATACAGACCACAAATTTTTACTCTGTCTATGTACACTCTGCCTTCCCTTTTTGCCACCGTCTACCACAAGGAATGAACCTGAACTTTTTAACTCTGGTACAGCAAGAAGACCTGGCTGCATAGCCTTGGGTAAATCACTCATGCAGTTCTCTCAACCACAGAATGGGAATACTGTCACCTACCTTGAAGGATCATGAGAATTAAAGATACTATGTAAAGTTGCTAGTAAAGTACCAAAGGCACAAAGCCATCAATCACCACCATCAAGCCTCATGCAAAAACTACCTAAAATCAAAACTCGGCAGAAAAATATTTATGCAATAAGCATCCAAAAAATATGTTTAAAGAAAGATACACAAGTCAATCTTATAAGATTCTGAAAACCCTGTCACCTGCTTTATTTCTGGAGAAAGGTAAAGGGAGAAGAGAAAATATTCACTTGAATTTGAGGGGCAGCTTAATGGGAAGTAACAATAGCAACAATTTTAGGCCTTGAAGCCTCCTCTCTGATCACAAGGGAAGGCTGAAACTTCCTGTTTGGAGATTGAAGGGTTTAATTTTTCCCTAGAGCAAGATCATCCATTTTTGCTGGGATAAAAGAATAAAGAACAACAAACTCAATAGCACCAAATGGGGTTTTAACACAGAAAATAGGGCCAGGTTTTTCCTTTCAAATGCAAATTTTTACATTAAAATATGTTTATAAATCATAGTTGTTTTTCCTCTTGATTCAATCCTTCTCCTTCCCCTAACAGGAGCCCCAGGAACCAGAGGAGCATGTGCATTACTAACCAGATAAACAATCCAGACACCCCTTCCAAACTGGCATCTGATTACTAATGGACTGGCCTAGCTCAGGGCTGCCCTCAGGGACAGGAAGCAGTAACTATGCTCTCAGGGAGAATGGATACTGAGGATGCCACCAGTCAAAGAGCCGAACGCTGTGCACTGGGTCCAGGATGACTTGCACACCCTGTTCACTGCGCAGTTTCCGACCACCATGGACAGGAGAGTCTTGGAACACCAGTCTCACACGATGATGCCGCATGTCCGTGCTCACATTGATAGTAAACTAGGAGGGAAGAGCAAATTCAGCACCCAAATTAAACAACCCTGTTTTCCCATGGTTCATTCTGAAATAAAGACAGTCTAGACAAAATTTACCCTAGCTAGGCCACAAAATGAAATTCTTCATATCTAAACTATGGTAAAGAAAGCCTCTCAGATGACTGAATAAATTAGGATACATGCACTTAGACTAGCACTGAAACCAGTTTTTAAAAACTGGGTTAGAGCTATACGAACTGACTTGAAGAGGTTCTGATGAGATATTGTTGAGCAAGTCAAAAAAGATGCAGGACACATACATCTGATCACATTTTTGGTAAAATAAACCACAAGATCTCTAAATCTGTTTATATACACACTAGTTTGAACAGGACGGTATGAGTATCAAGTACACAGAAAATGAATATATAACTGGGTCATTAATGTGACTTAATCTAGAGGGAGGGGACAGGTGCCTCACAACCAATACAGCATATGTGATATAATCTCAATTATATAAATTTATTTAAGAGATTAGGTGTATACAAATACATAACAGATACGTTAAAAAAAAAAAAAAAAGTTCCCAAAAGGTTAGTAGTTACAAGAGAGTAAACGTCTACCTTTACTTTCTAATGTATTATTTACATTCTTCACATGAAGTATTATTTATTTTACCATTAAAAAAAAGAATAAAGCTATTTTCAGTATAGAAGAAGGAACTCCATGTATCTCTGAACATAAGGCTAAAGGACGGAGAAGATAAATTGCATGAACTCTCAAGTTCTCAATTCAGTTGAGAATTTTAAAAACTTGGAAAATGTGCCAGAGACATATTTGTTATTTACTACTCTAATTCTTAGCTAAAGCTTGAATAGTCACCATCACATAAGGGACAGAGCTGGTGACCCTATATTTCAGTATTCCATTTATGACACTGCAAGCGTGCCTCAATGTCCCGACATACAGTGCTCATTTATAAGCCTCATTGTCATCTCTGAAAGGATAGTGTTTCTCAAATATTAGTGATCATGACACAGAAGACATAAAAAACATTCCTTTTACTATAAGAAAAAAACAAATATTCTCAGATATAATTAACTTCTCCATAAATCTGTTCCTAATACACAAGTCTGCTTTCAGACTCTTAAAAAAATTATTCCTCAAGATCTCTTCCTCTATGGTTAAATTACAAATTTCTTTAAAAACGTAGGTATAGGGGAATCCCTGGGTGGCTCAGCGGTTTGGCGCCTGCCTTCGCCCCAGAGCATGATCCTGGAGTCCTGGATCGAGTCCCGCATCAGGCTCCCTGCATGGAGCCTGCTTCTCCCTCTGCCTGTGTCTCTGCCTCTCTCTGTGTCTCTCATGAATAAATAAATAAAAACTTTAAAGAAAATAAAAATAAAAACCTAGGTATAGTGAGAGTCTATGAGAGAGAGAAGGATGACATTCCGTCTCCACTTACCAGGGTAAATATCATTCCCATGACAATTGGAATAAAGATGAAGTTGAGGGTGGTGACCTGCAAGAGGCAGCAGTCCTGGTCTGGGTTGGTATGAACATCTTCATACTGAATGGGAGGCTGCAAGCCTCCCATACATTTGCTCTTTAATCTAGGGGACTGAAGCAAACAGAGAATTACTCTAATGGCTTAGAGGAAATGCTGATGACTCTGGGACTTCAGCGAAGATCCTATGGCTCTCTTTACATACATATTGCATACTGGTTTCTACAGAGATCAAGGAAAACCTGCCCTTTGAAAGAAGAAGAGACACATTTGGATGAGCAACATGGCAGTGGGTATACGCTTCACTTAGACGGTATTTCCTGCCACCTGGCAAGAAATGGAAACTTAAGAGTTCTGTCAGAGGCTCGCCAATGTTTCAAAGATTGCATATTCCTCATGACTCGTCAGACTCCAAAGAACATCTGCTGCACAAAAGGGATAGAAGCAGACGTGGCCATCTAATTCTAGGCACCATAAATAAAGGAACCACAAGTCTCAAACCTAAAAGGAAAGCTGAGCATTCACCTTCCTACAGTTAATTCTGGTCTCAGTTTGGACACCGCTGAGACCGCTCTGCAGCCCCTTCCCAGAAAGGTCCTATGGTGGACTTTCCATCAACATCTAATGGGTATCACAGTTTGAACACATCTTATTAATATCAAATGACTGGAAGCCAAAATTCTTCCCTAAAACCATGTTTATGAAAAACCAATGGAAAAATATGATTTACTTTCATTATAAACTTATCTGTAACTCACCAGCCATCAAGTGAGGGATAACTGATCATATTTGTAATGTGTCTCCTCAGTGAGATACTAAGAAGGGGAGACAGAAGAAGACATGAGGCTGCTGGGGAGAAGTAAAGGCAAAGCAAAGTAGATCCTCACGCTGGCCAAGATCTCGGGTACAGTCCAAGCAAGAAGCAGAAAGAGATTACTATCTATTCTTCTTATAAATAGCCTCTTGCAGTTAGTGCCTTTCCTCATGACTTCCCCAAACGGCCTGAAGTGTAAAGCCACATAAATTATTGCTGTTTACAAATACATGTGCTTTGAAAAACAAAAAATTACAGGCAAATAACCTCAGTACATGGTTATAACACGTTTTTCCCTTTTTCCCACCTTTAGGTAATCAACTACACAGAAGGTTACTACAATAATGCAATAAACTCCCATATGCCCTCTACCATTAGGTATTTCACCATATTTGCTTCCTCTCCTCCCACCTCTCATGTTATGTATAAAACGGTGGAGGAGGGCAGCCCGGGTGGCTCAGCGGTTTAGCGCCTGCCTTCATCCCAGGGCGTGACCCTGGAGACCCCGGATCGAGTCCCACGTCGGGCTCCCTGCATGGAGCCTCCTTCTCCCTCTGCCTGGCCTCCGCCTCTCTGTCTCCTCTCTGTGTATTCTCATGAATAAATAATAAAATCTTTAAAAAATAAAATAAAATAATAAAATAAAACGGTGGAGGGGACAAAGCCATCTGAAAGTAGCACTCATGCAGGACCCTTACTCGGCATGAATAGACACTTATACAGAACCAGAGTATCAAAAAAAAAAAAAAAAAAAAGAACCAGAGTATCATCATCACATCTGAGAAATTAACGATAATTTCACATCATCTAACATTTATAGCTTACTCAAATCTCTCCAATTGTCCCAAGTGTCTATTAGAGCTGTTTGCTCCCTGATTCAGTACCCACTCGAGGTTTACTCTCTACATTCAGCTATTATACTGCCATGACTTTTTCATTACTTTTTTTTAATATTTTATTTACTTTTTTATTTACTTATTAGAGAGAGAGGGAAAGAGCTCAAGCAGGGGGCAGGAGGAGCAGCAAAGGGAAAGGAAAAAGTAGACTCCCCGCGGAGCAGGGAGCCCGATGTGGGGCTCCATCCCAGGACCCTAGGATCATGACCTGAGCTGATGGCAGACACTCAACCACTGAGCCACCCAGGTGCCCCTGCCATGTCTCTTTCACGTAGAATAATAGTTCTTCTTCCTTTTCTTTTCACGACATTATTGTAAATTTTGATGGGTACTATTTGATTTTAATAAGGCAATTTTATACCTAGTGAAATTTATTAGAACATACCACCTAAAAAACAAAGAGAAGATACAACTACATACCTGTTTTTTGAACTTAAAGTTGAATTCCCACATTGGTTCCTGTCTGTTCCCAACAATCTTTCTGCACCAGAAAAGTAAGCACTGTAAGAAAATAAAAATAAATAATAAAAGATAGAAAAGGAAAAAATCCAAATAAAGTATCAAAAAATAATCAGCAAAAACCTGTCTGACAGCTCCAAAGCCAG